CCTAGGAAGGCTCCCATACAAGAGCTAAAGCCAAAACAGGTTATTCTGACTCTGAACTGGGTTTCTGTAAGTATCAGCATATCCATGCAATCAGCACACGTCATTCACCATGTCAGATAATGGAGAGTTTACTTCACTTCATTTACTCAACAGCACTTTAATTACTCAGATTATAGTGTCAAATAATTAGCTTAGTGAACAATGAACTGGAGAAGTAATGAAAGTAAAGAGATGTGGCCTAATTTAAACCATCTGTATATTGGTTCTGATATAAATCAAGTGAACCTCAGCCGAGAGAGCCAACCTCAAGCAGACCTGACCCTGAGGCCTCCTGAGTGTGAAGGCATGCAAATCATTTGCCAACTGTTATATTATTCTTGACTACTGAAAAGCCATGAAGCCAACAACTGATATAAACTAAACAAATCTTCATAGAGCTTAGACCTTGAGAAGCTGCCAATTGTGCAGTTACTTAAGAACTTCATGGAATTTTATGGAACCCAAAGGTTCATCATGTTCAAAAGAGCCCTCCACTGGTCCCTGTCCTGAGCAAGATTGATCCATCCTTACTCTCCAAAATCCATAATATAATTTTTTTTTACTTTGTAATGTAAATCCATCAGACAGAATAATCTCATTATCAGACTTGACTGGAGTGTCTCAGTATCTTTTTCATACTGTACTGTTTCAAAGAAAATGCGGCTTTGGATTAAGTTATTGTGATACGTAGTATTTTTGCAGCGTGCCCAAAAAAACCGAGAGACTTTTATTAAAATTATAATACTAGTGTTGTGATAGTAGGTGGACCATGATATGCCAGTCTACTGAACGTGAATGCTGTTGGAAAGACAAAGATGAAAGTTTCCCTTCTCACCACGAAGTGAAGTCCCTACAGGAAGCCACTACGCGAACAAAGGAAATGCACTGTACACCATGTTGCATGAATACTATACTTGCAATGTCCACTATCCTGAACATATGTCACAGACAATGCCCAACATATTACTGTAATGAATCAACCACGATCACAAACCTTTCTAAAATCTATGTAGGATTTGAGGTTTTCAAACTGGCAGTAAGGTAAAAGTTAAAGTTGGCCTTGTGCTTAACTAATGAAGCACTATGCCATGAAGGCATATGGGGCAGTGAATGTATAGACCCACATTTTCTTGACCTCGGCACTAGCTGGAGTTGAGCGGTCAACTTCACACCCTTGTCGCTTTATCCTTGGGGAAAGAGCCCCCACTACTCATTGGATGTTGGGTGGACCCCAGAGCTGGTCTGGACAACAAGAAGAAGAGAATTACGACTCAAACTCCAACCCCTCGGTTGTCCAGCCTGTAGCCAGTCACTATACTGGCTACGCTATCCCAGGTATGAAAAATGCCGTCTTCTGGGATGTGGCGTCATGTAGATCTTATGTGAACAGATGTTTCAGAGGAATGTATCGCCTCCATCTTCCAGGTAGAAAAATCCTTGAGCAAGGAACCAATGTGAGGAGGTGGCAGCAGACTGAGCCACCAGTTGAAAACATTCAGCTATATAAGAACATCAAGGCAGTGGGCTTGCCTCCCAACAAAGGACCTAGTTTCCTCTGGCTGGTCAAGAATAACTAAGGACTAAGGATACTGGGTGTACACAGAATCCCTTGTAGAGTGCACCTAAGTCTAAACTGGGCAGACAGGTTTTCCTGTGGACACCAGGTTGAAGGAATTTGTGTAAATTATGTTGAGTACAAGTGACAACTTTCACCTATGTCACAACTTATTTCCCCTTTCCTGCAAGCTTGTTAGGACTTAAGTCTTGGGTATCTGCTCTGGCTAATTAACAGGATGGTGTCTGAAAACAACATATTCTGCTTATTGAATGCAATCTCTGTTACCAGTCTTACAACTAGAACTAACAATAATTATTTCCTGTCCTTAATCAGACAATTAATCTGAATGAAACACATTACCTCAAAACCACAGCACAGGATCCAATTTTGGACAGCCTTCTCTCTCTCACGCACATGCATCCGCATATACACACACAAAAATTCTTACAATAAAATAATACTAACTTTCATTAGAACAAATATTTCCAGCAAAACATTTCACGTTTGTTGAAGGTAATTTCCCTCAGACAAAGCATTCTGCATAATAAGTGTATAACATAAGCATCATCGCTCAATATTAAGGCTCCCCCCTTTTTTATATTAAAAAAAATATCAGAATGTTTCTTTACACAACTGAAACATTAAGAAAGCTAAACACTACGTAAAAATGTAAGAAATAATCATAAAATTCAATTTAAAACACAAGTTTATTCACTAAAATCTATATACACTCACCCTCCGGCTCCGTAACTTGAAGATGGTGGAGGTGTACGTCTGCGATAGATATCTGTGGATAAACGGGCACCACCATAGTCAGTGCGACGCTCAAAGGAGGGGACTGGTGGCATTGAGGGGCGATCATAAGGACTGCGACCAACATCAGAGAAGGATCTGCGCTCATACGGGGAGCGCATCATGTCTGCGTATGATCGTCTCTCTGGTTCCCTGTCAAACACGTCAAAGCCCCTGGGATTTCAAAGAGAGTCATACAAGTTACTTCTGAATAAAGAAGTTTTATTAAGACAACAGAGACAACAGATAATTCACCTGTCACGCGAAGACATGACTGGTAGTGGTCCACCACGTGATGGGTAGTAGCTGTCATAGCCCCGATCATAGTTGTCATAGTAGCCGTTCCTCATGCTAGGTGGAGGAGGCAAGCCTGGCCTCCTGTCATAGTCGCCTCTGCCATCTCGCATGTATGGAGGGGCACGTCCCATTCCTCTCATGCCACCACGTCCTCGCATGGGACCAAACCCTCCTCGACCACCACCTCTACCACTCTTCTTCCCAGTTGATTGCTGTAAAAATCACCAGAAAAAGTGGAATTGCCGAACAAAAATATGACATTAACTCAATGATTTTCCACCAACACGATAAAGGGTAGTTTCTGATCCCCCATACCACTTCCCAGTGCACTTGGTTTGATTACATCAAATTATCTTATGACCCAATACTCAACATGAGCTTCAAACAAGGTATCGGCACACAGCCTGAAACGTTTGTCATCACCAAAATTACACAAATCGCTGAATGCCAGGCAGTTTAACACACTTTTACACCATTATAACCAACTTCCATCTACCTTAGTAACATCATACATCCATTCAGGCTTGAAAGTAGCCTTCTGTTATCATGTAATGTGCTCAGGCTAATCACAACCTCCAAAACTCATTACAATTTGTTACTGTTACCATTCCCTTCTTTATAGAAAGATAAGTTGAAAAGTAATGGCAATGTCATCTTGTCATGTTGACTATGCTGAAAGCTTACAAATTTATAACATAACAAGATGTGTAAAATACAAACTGACAAGACACAGCCCACGGCATCTGATATATTATCTGGAAAACAGTATGTGATCTCAAATACCTCCACACTGATCTGCACACCCATGAATTCTGCATTGTTCAGCTCCTTGATGGCCCTTACGGCCATCTCTTCTGTTTTCATGTGCACAAATCCATAGCGATTTAGGATATCACATTCTGTCACAATGCCATACTGCTCAAACAGGCGTCGCAAGTCCTGGGCCTGAGCCTCATCTGGCAAGCGACCCACAAAAATTTTTGTTTTCTGAAATGATAAAGCAAATTCACACAACCAATAAGTATGACTGCAAAGAACGTGCATTTTGACCTTATATTATGCAGGTAGCATGTACCAGTTTGGTCTCTATACATTTCCGCAGTACTGCCGCATCTGGCATGATAGCAGAGGGCCTCTGTGTAGACATTATACACACTTAAAAACAATGTTATTGGCATCAGGGGCCCCAAGCTCAAATATTTCCTCAAACCTGGCTTTACTGGTAGCATGAATGTCAGTGTTCCTTCAGTATTCAGCACCTAACAATGGTCAAATGAACAATAATCAACTTCATTTCATCTGTAGTGGCTGGATATTTCATTGGTTTGTATCAAACAGCCACTGGTCTACTCAGAAAAAAATATAACTGTTCTAAATTCAGCAACCAACAATGATCTACCATTCAACAATCATGCATGTATAATCTCTTAAAAATTATGTTTTTGAGACTTATCATACAAGAAAATCTCAGTATGCTACAATGACTGACAGTTTCAATGCCAAGTATGTGACCAGACCCAAATTAACAATGATTAACTACAGCTGAGTGGTATTCCTTCATTTACATTTCAGCTACTACACACTGTGATACTTGCAAAAGCAAGCATCCACATCCCAGGTGCACAATAATATTCTGCTAATATTATCTAAGGCAATTTCTTCCATGTGCTGTTTAAACCTTTAACCAACAACCAGAAGAATGCAAAAGGTATGGTACTTTGTGCCTGGACCCAATGTTCAAATTCTGGTCCTCACACCATCCCAAACACATATGCTTTATGTGGTCTGATCATTTAATACATGGAGTCTGAGAAGTGTAAAAAGAAACCATATGCTAAAAATTATTTACTATACAGAAGAAGCAATGTCACAATTCAGTAGCACAAAACTCAATGTTTTTCTGTAACCTATTAAGTTTAAATGTGAGTACAATTAGCTGCTTGATACATAAAATGATATTTGACTTCAAGCCATGGATTCACAAGCATAACTTTGGTCACTGTTGCAATCGCCTGTTATGCGTTACTGAAGAGGAAAAAGAAATGTAATTTTCTAGAGAGATATCGTTCATATAAACCCAGAGGGAAAAGTCCAATGGCATTAGCTCTAATGATCTTGGGGGCAAAGCTAAAAAACTGCCTCTTCCAATCAAACTGTTCAGGAAGCATTCCATCCTGATGAAACAATGCATTGCTAATAAGGTAACTGTGACATTGTACTGTTCTAATACGTCCACATATGAATGGCTTATCACAGTTGCTTTCTGAAAGAAAACAGTCCAATGATGTGTCCTTTCATCAAGCCCGACAGCACATTAACCACTGGCATGGTGAAAAACTGCTTCAGGTGACTGACTACCCCAAATTCAGCAGTTATGTCTATTCCAAGATACCATCCATATGGAATGATGCATCCTAAGAAAAACACATAGAGCCTAGGAATATCCTATCACTGTCAATTTTCTACAGCACTTCCTCAGTCTCTTTCCACAGTCATTGTTAGCTGATTTGATGTGCTGCCACAGCTACAATCTGTACCTGTCTGTAAGCACCTGCATGTCATGAACTGTAGAGCAGAGATGACAAAACTACTTGCTTGCTGTGCAAATCAACTTGCATGGGCTAGAACTGCATGTCTAATGTGCTCCTAATCTCCTAATCCTGAAGATTTCTGACTTATAACACTTCCTGTTTCTCCCAGACATCTACACCACTTCTTAATGGGGTTGTAGCTTGGTGCTGAAGCTCCATGCATTAACCAAAACTTACACAGTACATGTGACAGACACCAACTCCTCAGTGATCTACAAAACACAATCCATCTTCTGCCGAACCTCTGATGCGACTACTAGTGATTCAAGGGGATGGCGCATGCATGACCAATGATACCAACCTGGAGACACCCGTGGATGGTGCCAATTTGAAACAGTCCAATGTGGAAATCGTCCATATTCCCCGGTGACTGCTCTTACCAAAATGTTACAATATCCATCCAAGAAAGTGAATTTGTACACAATAGAAAATTTAAGCATAAAACAGAAAGTAATTACTACTTGTAACAGCAGCAAAGTGAAACTGTGCATACCTGAACAGAATGCAAGGTTTTACTATATTGTGTTGCCAACTGACCCACATTTACATTGAAACAGGCAATTAAGTCATGTGAAAACACTCTGAACAGCTGTGTAACATGTTTCATTATTAAATAACAGTTATTTTACTTTCAAATCAAGGTCATTTCTGGTACACTCAACTCTCGATTATCCGGGGGCGGATAAACCCAAGTGCAGCTTAACCGGGGCATTTTTTAGGCTTATGTGTTGTTTAATATTCATTCACTTTTGTTTCACATGGTGAGTTGTAACACTATTTGCGCACTAGTGTGAACTGAGCTCTGCATTTTTGGTCCCATTATGCTAACACAATGTTCTAGGGTAGGAGTGAAAGAATGCAAGGATTTGTGGAAAGTTTCAAGGACAGATACACCCTCACAGTTAGTCTCTTTGTATCGATCTTCAAGTGTGTTAGCAAAATGTCAGGGTGTAAAAGGAAGCGTGTTAACTATTCAACAGAAACTTGAAATTATCCATCAGTTGGGGAAAAAGAGGTGTAGCTAAATTAGCAATGCAATACGGTATTGGAGAGCAAACTGTTCGTGATTTGAAAAAACAAAAGAACCAATTAATTTCCTTTGCTTTGTCTTCTAATTCAAACAGAATGAAGAAAAGCCTTGAAAAAATCAACAATGATGATCTCGACAAAGCAATGCTGATCTGGTTTAATCAACTAAGGGCACAGGGAACAACAATAACAGGAGCAGTATGTGCTAAACAAGTGAAATTTTTTTCCAAAGCACTTGAACTACAAGGAAGTTTTGACACTTCTTCCGGTTGGCTAACATGTTTCAAGTAGTGTCATGGAATATGAGAAAATAGTATTCAAGGTGAGAAATTGTCAGGGGACTTATCATCATCAGTTACATTTTGCACCAATTTTGATAGTTTCGTGAAAAGTGAAAATCTGCTGCCAGAACAAATCTGTAATGCCGATGAAACATGTCTTTATTGGAAATGCCTGCCAGCCAGAACTTTGGCATTTCAAAATGACAGACAGGCTCCAGGTCACAAATCCAGTAAGGAGAGATTGACAGCCTTGTGCTGTTCTAATGCATCAGGAACACACAAACTAACACCAGTAGTTATCGGCAAAGCAAAAAGACCACGCTCTTTTAAAGAAACAGTAGCTTCAAGTCTGCCTATCCATTATTTTAATCAGAAAGGAGCTTGGATGAATAGAGCGATATTTAAAGAATGGTTTGATTTCAAATTTGTGCCTCAAGTTCGTGACCATCTAAAATCCCAAGGCCTGCCTGAGAAAGCTGCGCTCCTCGCTGACAATGCGCCCTCACATCCTAATGAAAGTCTCCTGAGGTCAGATGATGGAAATATTTTCCTCCTAATGTTACCGCACTTATGCAACCAATGGATCAAGGAGTTATCTCAAGTATGAAGAGAATCTATATATCAAATTTGGTACAAAAGTACATCAATGAAGGCAATGATCTGACGTGTTTCTGGAAGTCTTTTTCAATGTCAGATGCCATATACGAGATTTCAACAGTGTGGGATACAGTAAAGCCATCTGTATTGAAAAATTCATGTAAGAAACTAATGCCTTTCATCACTAATGAAGATGACGAAATCCATGTATTCACTGGATTCAGTGAAAATGAGATAGCCACAGAATTGACAAAATTGGCTAACCAAGTTCATGGTGGTGAAGAAGTCAACGAGGAAAATATAAGACAGTGGTTTGGTGACTCGTGTGAGCTGGGCTTCAAAATGTTAAGCAGTGACAAAATCGTAAGTTAAGTGGGGGTGCAGTCAGAAGAGCGGGAAGAAAGTGAGAATGAGGAAGAGGTGGACAGTGCTGCTAGTAAGAAAGTATCACATGGTGCTGCTCTTAATCATTTGGAATCCTTACTGGAATCCTTACTAGACTATCTTGAGAGTGAAGAGGACAGTTTATTAAGTGACAAGCTAATATTACGTAGGCTTCGTACGGATATCCGTAAAAAGGAAAATGTGGCAAAAAAGCAAACGAAAATATTAAATTTTTTTAAGTGTTAAGTGTGAATATTCGTAAAAAGTGTTGGATGTTGTTGAACACTGTGATTGAAATAACTAATTCATACTTCAGTATAATGTAAAAAAAAAAAAAAAAGTATTAAATAGGCCATGAGATAACATAAAAATGAGGTTGAATAAATTTAAATACAGGTAGGCCTATAGTATTATGAAGGTACAGTATTACAGTACTACTTTTAATAAAATCAGTCTTAACCGGGTTTTCGATTAATCGTGATTTCCATCCACACCATTATCCAGGATATTCGAGAGTTGAGTGTATTTATCTTACTTTCTAACTTCTCCGACTCCTAAAATCTTTTACTCAAAACCATTTGACTACTGAAACATAAATTTTGGTAATTTCTCTTTATCCACCTTGCATTGTGTGTGTTTATGTGCATGCACGCAAGTGCATTTCCTTTCAAACAGTATTACTTACTACAGTATTTCAGCAGGAATATTTTCCAAGATATGAACATTTTCCAATATAGTATCATGATTAGTTAAAAAAACTGTTAATATCTGGCTGTCCATACCATATTCAGGGATTTAAATCCCTCACCCTTGTGTGATGAAGGTCAAATGCTATTTGTAAACAATGTGTACTCCTTTTGTAAATTTTCATTAAAAATATGCTGACAAGAATAGTATTTGGAGGGAAGATTATCCTCAGACTGTCATCTTAGCTGAAATGGCACTCTTCTCACATGGACCTCACACAGACGCCTACAATTTCTAGACACACATCCAAGTTGGTGTATGGGAATAGAGAAATTCCACGCCCAGTATTTTCTTTAAGTTCTTCCAAAGAGTGTGGATTGTTCATATAGACTTTATCTTTCAGTGTTCCACACAAACAGAAATCACGAGGATTTAAACTGGGTTATCACAGTGGGCCACAGTCCTTGATTTATGACTTGTTCACCAAAGACTTCATCTTATGCACTGACAGAATTTTTGCAGTGTGTGCTGTTGCATTATTTTGCATAACATGCCCATATCTTTTATCATCATTCAGTTATCAAGGATGACATAATTAGTTACTATAGGATTCTGACGATGGTGTATAACACACTGATATGTTGGGATTTTGGACTTTATCCATCGTCCTGGTTTTTAAGATAAATAAAAACACGACGTTTCGAAAACTGGATCTGTTTCCGTCCTCAGGTGAAGGAAAAGAGCTAGCCTCAATCACTGGATTAAGGCTAGCTCTTTCTAATGGACCCAACTGAATAGGTGTTTTCCTTCACCTGAGGACGGAAACAGATCCACTTTCCGAAACGTCGTGTTTTTATTTGTTATCTTAAAAACCAGGACGATGGATAAAGTCCAAAATCCCAACATATCAGTATGACATAATTAATCTCACATAATGTTCAATGAAAAAGCATGGCCCCATTTATCCTCAGTGAGCTGTACCTTTTGCCCATCCACAACGATGAGCCAAAAGATATAATTGCTTCTGAGCACTGATGTCATCAAGCTTTCACTGTCAGTACATCTCTTTTGAAATTTCTTTTTCTCCAGCACTAATTCCAAAGAAAAGCACAATAGACCACTTTAGGTCACAGTGCAAGGGCCAAGGAGGCCTACCCCTCATACAATCCCAAAGAATATAATTTCGTTATGATAAGAATGCTGTACAAGTATATCCTATGAATAATTTGTCTTCAACACTGGCAACTGTATTCTGATGTATCTCAAGAATAAACCAGCAGCATTATCACTGCTCCATCCTAGGATTATCTACACTCCCTCTACCACCTGAATAGTAGAATGCAATTCGAAAGGGGTGGGCAGGCCACTAAGGCTTAAAGAAGTCTCTTTATTTATGGCTTTGAAGGTTATTAGTTTTTTAACTAATGGTTATTGATGGTTATTGTACACACAATTAGGCCCATTATTGATGCCAAGGATAGAATGACCCCGTATGCAACGGGCTTGCTTGTCCTGAGTGTCTTGAGCCCCCACTTTGTTTCGTCTTACAGTGTGATGAATCTCGAGTACCCGCACGTAATAGTTTAGCGTTGCTAATGATATAATTACCATCATTGTTATAACTGGTCTTAGGTTGTTTATGGTTATTGTTTGACTAAGTTATCAGCCACAAGAATGATCCTGATTATGGGTTAGCCAAGTGAATAGTTCATTTTAATTAACCCTTTCACTGCTAGTATATTAAGTAACTCTCAGTACCTTCTGTGCTGAATTATTTTTGAATAAATCTTTTATAAATAATCTAAGTGCAAAGCATGAAAATTTGTGATAAAATGTAACTAATCTTACCTCACACAGGGAACAGGCATCAGAAGTTGCAAAAATGTTAAATTATTCAGTATCTTTCACAGGGGTAAAATCCATTTAAATCAGAGTTGTCCAAGATAGCCAAAAAAGTACATAATTCATTATCCTAGTCTTATCACTATGTCACATGTTGACCAAAGCCCATAACTTTATTTAAAATTATTATGGAAAGCACTGCGCCTATACGAAACCATTTTTACTAGCCCCGTAAAATACCCACTCCACTTGACCACGGAGCGCGTGCCTCGCTGTGCAGACGCAACCTTTTACATTTCTTAAGCTAGAGGGCAGAAGAATGCAGCCACTGAAATAAATGACGCTTCATTATGTTCCCAATAGATGACTCTATGCACTCGTCAAGGTTGAATGAGATTGGTGCAAAGAAACCTGAGATTTGAAACTCTAAATTTGCAATATGGGTTTTGCCAAACGCAGCAAGGACGCCATGTTCTTCAGAGATCAACATATGTCAACCACAGCAGCGTAAGGGTTAAGTACAGTGTAATGTTCAGCAACAATCAGCTTCAATCTCAAGCAATGAGGTGTGTACATGTGTATCACCACTGCTGTAAATTTTCTCATACATAAGACTTTAAATCTACATATGAATGTTGCTCTGAAGCAGAAAGAAGCTGGCCATTCCTGCTCTGACAGCGTTGTCTACAACTTCGATCCAAAAATTATCTTCACTAGGCAACCTTATAATACAAATGTCATGCATGTTTAACAAGACCTCCATCAATATCTGATGATTCACCCTTAAGGATGATTTAGACAATTCAATTGCATAAACCACAGATACTTACAGGTGGTGTGCTTGATGTTCTGAGATCTGGGGAAAAAATGAAAAGAAAAACATTAAAATATGCTTAATTTACTCTTACATCTCTTTAGCTGTATACTGCAGTTCTGCTAATCAAGTGCAGTGGATTGTTTCACACACAATATGACAATAAAACATAATAATTGTAAATGCAGTTGATATACTGCTAGTGAACTGCTTGTGATCTTTGAGGTCAATACCTGTAATATTATTGTATTTAAGCATCCTGTTGCATTGATATACTCTTCATTCACACACTACACTTCCGTCCACAATGCAACCCATTATATACATAATTAAATAAAGATTATATGACCACAACCGAAAAGAATCACAACACCAGAACACACACAACAAAAAACAGACCATAATATAACTAAAAAATAAATCCCACGGAGCTGAGCCTTCTTGAGAAGTCACCAGTGGCTCAGCTACTCAACAATTTGCCAGGATTTCATGGAACCCAAAGGTTGATTATTCTGTTCCAACAACTGTCCACAGGTCCTTATCCTGAGCCAGATGAAGGCAGCCCACACCACCCCATCCTAAGTCCCATTTTAATATTATACTCCACCGACATCTAGGTCTTCCTAGGCTCTTTCCTTCTGGCTTTCCCACGAAGATTTGTATGCATTCCTCCTCTCCCCAATGCCTGTTACATGTCCTACCCATCTCATTCTCACTTTCTCTCAACCTATCACTTCATCCCTCTTTAGGAGGTGAGGACCTCCTCCTCATAATAATAATAATTTAAGAGATAGGAGACGGCAAAATCTGGCCAGCTGACTCTGACTGTAGGTATTTACGCACTCCAAGCTATATGCCAAGCCTATCCTGAACCTACCATTTTAAACCATGAAGTTCATTCTTCTTACATCTAAATAGTTTCAGTAGCATCTCTTTTCAAATAACTCAGATTTTTTCTCCCCCTCACAGAATCAGGCTAGATTCCATACACTTTAGGTTCAAATAAAAGTACTGGTGCAAACATTGTACACACAGTGCCCTATATGCTCCTGGCAGATTACAACGTTCTAGTATACTAAATCAAATATTTCAGCATTCCTATTTTAAAAAGATGTCTTTCCTTTCCCCAAGACAATAGGATCTAGAGGGTGGACTGTTACTTTATCAGAAATACTGCAAATGCAGTTTATTTGGGAATAACAGTATGCAAGAAATCAGCAACCTTTAATCAGAGCTGTTGTGAAAAATATAATTTTGTGATTGAGCCTTGGCTGGGAGCCTGTTTGAATCCTGTTAAATTTAAAATACTTTGGCCTACAAAATATTATATGGGTCCACTGTCTCCACAAATGACTAGAATTTAATCACAATCGTTTCAGATGTTTTCAAAATAACTGACATTTTGCATTTGGGCAGCAAAAAGGTATTCTGTTCATGAACATACTGCCTATGCCGTTTAAATCAAAACACGATCTCCATAAATACGAAAGTCCTGAAATCATGTAAGTCTGAACAAAATATCAAGATTTTTTTTTTCACAATTACAATACTTGCTCACACTGTGTATATGAATAAAAATAAATCAAACATTTAAGCACGCAAAAAAAAAGTCCCACGTTCTCAAGCCTTTCTCATACAGAATTCATTAGAACAAATGCACTTTATGGCACCTTCATAAATTACTTAATCTCTCCAAAAAAAATGGAGCAATTTCCATATCAGGCTGTACAGAAGCCCGAGGGCTATGGCATGACACAAAATACTATCATATTTATACACAAGGCCAAGTTGGAGAAGTGTAGCCATGACTGAATATCATGCAAAATATCACCCTGTGTGCAGCAACTTCCAACAAGATAAATTCCACTAGTTTCAATACCAGAATTTTCGCTAGAACTTCAGAAGTGCGAATTCAGTAAACTAAGTCTGGTACACAGGCACATGTTCAAACTGGAGTTCACTCATCCATCCACACACCCTGGTATGCACGTGTTATAAATCATACTTCACGCAAAGCATAAAGCCAACTATCAGGACAAAAACCAACTAACTAGCATTCCAGGAAAAATTTATTTCTTTTACAGTTGCGTCTTTCATGTGGACGACATATTATCCACTGGGTGTGGTACATTTAGTACCAACGTATTCACTATGCTGTGAAGAATTAGAATACAAAATACACGAGCACAATACCGTTCCGCTTAACTATTATGCCACTGACCTCGGGAGTCTTTATGGCCCCCATGCGCACAGCCGGTTATTAGAAAACATTACGCCATGTAGGGTAATTCTCATTTAAATCAAACGTAAGTCTTACTAAATCAGAGTACGAGCCAGTCACAATTAATATTACAATCAAACTGGGGTAATTACATTTTACAGTCATCCAAATAACATACTACACAATGAAGCCTCCTCTATATATAAGCGTTCGCACCCTTCGCTGAGCCGGTCCAGCTATGGCATGGCGTCTTTGACGATTATTCGAACTACACAGTATTTTCAGCATCAAAGTTAATTCTCTACGTATCTATCACGTCAAGAAAGGTTTCAACAGATAAATAAGTGTTTACATACCAGACATTATTCAACCGCTTACTACTCAACTTCACAATGGCGTCCACCGCGTCCTTTCAGATGGCGCGAAACGAAGTATACCCACAATCCAACATGAGATAGATGCCGTTGTGTGTTCAGAAACCAACCCAATGGAAAATTAAAATTATAATGGCTCAACAACTATGTTGCACCAACGGTTCTCACACCGTTGACACTGAGCCGTGAATATTACGGAAGTGGTGCGAGAGTGAGATCGAACTGAGGAAGATGAAAGGAATTAAGAAAGACGGATACCTAGGTCGAGAAACACTTATGGATGTGGGTTGGGGGTGGGGGGGAATTACCGCTCAAAGTTATCGAACCATTCAGTAACTGATGGAATCCCATATACAATACTCTAACACTATATAATTTTTTTAATTAATCTAGGAAGTGCCGGTCACGGTAGCCGAGCGGTCTAAGGCATGTACTTTCTTCGCTCGCTTGGAAACCGCGACCGTGGGTTCGAATCCCACTCAGGGCATGAATGTTTAGTTTGTGTGTGTGCGTTTTTCTGTGTTTGTGTACAGGTAGAGGCCTTGCGACGAGCTGATCACCCGACCAACCGAATGTGTAAGATCTAGAAAAACCGAAGTGAACGGAGAAGTTCATGGAGGTAGGCCTAGGCCCACCGGGGCTGTAGTGCCAAGGAAAAAAGAAATCTAGGAAGTATGTATGAATGAATGAATGAATGTATGAAGGGTAGGCCTTCTCGGCCCTTGCACCGCGACCTACAGTGGTCTATTGTGCTTCCCTTTCTGATTATCCCCTCAGCAATCCCGCCCTAAGGCTTGCGGCACCTTATCGGTACTCTAGGGAGACAACTCAAATAGCCGTAGCTACCCCCATACGAGTGCTCTCCCGCATTCGTCCCTGGTACACCGCAGTGACACCCAAGAGTCATTATGCCGCCGCGTGGGAGGCTCCGGTCTTATAGCCATCGCCCTTTATGGAAACTCAGCCGCCAGCTCCGGAAGATCATACTGATCCAGACCCCAAGACTGCCGTTGCCCGGTGGGACCACGAGGTGTTCGAAAACTGTGTCCCAACGCATCCCTGGTCTATGATACGTCCCCACCAAAGAGACAGCCGTGGCTCGGCCAACCTCACCGAGGATGGCGTGATTACCACCCCGTCATCTAGGAAGTATATGTAAGATGAATTTATTTTAAATAGCCACAGTTTGAACGTTTCGAATATGTAAACAGCCAAAGTACTTCATATAAAAAACTGTAAAATAGTGACAGAAGCGAGTATGAAACGAAATCCTCGCCATAGATCAGTGACTCATAACTCCTAATTTTCTCACGGAATGGACTATATCTAATAATGACTTCGGCGAATATTAAATGTTTGGATTTTCGTAATACTTCCTTTCTCATTGTGCGTATATTATTTCCGCACGTTCGATTCAACCATACGGTCACACATCGTGGTGTGATGATGAAGTGAGTTATGAAGATTATCGCAGTCTGCTTGCTGTTGGCTTTCCGTTCTATTCGTCCCTTAGTGACCACACTGCCCACATCAGTGACGGAGACAACACGTACCCAAGCTACGTCGGTAAGCTTCTAGTAGTCTATGCGGTCTATGCGACGTTAAATCCCAAAAGATCCGTGGGGCTGTACTGAGCGTTACTATCACAAATTGCACAGATAATACAATAACACGTTTCCGTGGGGCTGTTACGAGCGTTACTATCACTAATTGCACAAATAATGACCTTTTTTTTACGCTACTCAAAGTGTTACACGTCTCAAATATAGAAAGGCATTAATTAACGCATCGGAGATAAATATACATTTGACGCTTTTGACCACGGATTACTAAATATAAGACGTTCTTGCCCAATATATGGCACGGATACCAATACAATAGGGTGAATTTGGTGTTTCAAGGACGACTGGCTGCCAGCCTGATGTTACTCTATGGCAGTAAAGTAAATGCTCTCTGTAATGTCCATGGCGGTCCATAGAACGAATAGAATGTACGACTCGTGCAGGTAGTAAATCCGTGATTCATGATTTAACAATCTGTAATAACTACGCATGTAGGACATTCGATACGTGTAAGTTTGTATGTTTGATGTTATTTCCAATAAATTATGAGGCTTTTAAATATGTTAATGTTGAGCAGTGGCTGCTTTGTATGTAAAAAATACCAAATAGATTTTAAGCAAGTAAACACCTGAAGAACCCTAACCTCTAGAACATAACGGCGTGTAGTCCGTTGGGTTATTTCTCAGATAATGGGACTCGCAACCATCGCTGTGAGAAACACAGAGTTAAAAGAATCTAAATGAAGTGTTTTACCACACTCAAACCGTAAGGTATTAACAAATGATAAAACATTAAAACCCTAACTAATGCAGTAACATAACCTAACACAAAACAAAATTCAACTGACGTCACCGAAGTCACACGACGGAAAATAAAATAATTTAATAAACAGCCTTTTTTCATGCTTGGTTGGTTCTTATTTCTGCCAGTAGGCATGCCATCATTTGTTCCATCTCAACAGTGTGGCAGTATAGCAGTCTCCAATCTGACCACTTCTGACATCAGTTGTCATGTAGGATGTGTGACTACAGACAGCATTTGGATCGATGAATAGACTGCACACTTTCAGGTCATAGCTATAAATAACTAGGATACTATCACTATTTCCACAATTTACAGTTCTTTAGTGTTCTCAGTCTGTTACTAGATGTTTTCTGGTAACAGCTCTAACAATGGCTATTCTTCTGCTACCAGTTCAACTCCTCCATTCACAGACTCCTGTACAGAACTGGGTTGCCGCAGTTGTGTTTCAAGATAACTCCTCAACATGGATGACACAGAAACAACTTGTTCCCATTGCTGTAGTCCATGTTGCATTATTAAGAAACTGCTGCTAGCAATGGGAACGTGTTTATTGAGCTGTTGCCCGGGAATGGCACTGGTATATCAGCCTATTTTGCGGTTCTTTCATGCCATTGGCTCTACATGCTTCTGGCTACTACCATAAACACTTGACTTCAACAAGTCAAGCAACCCCACGTAAAGAAATTTAATGCACTTATGTTTTGAGACTGAGTGGGCCAATTCACCTGTCTCTCTTCCTACCAATCTTCCATCATTCATTCATCTTCATTCAAAAACTCCCTTACTGCTCTGCCTAAATGTGGAGGGTAGCCACTCTCGTCTTTGTCACAAGAGGCACATTCTCTACATACAGGAGTAATTCATTCTCCTGAAAATTTCTATAATACAGAGCAGTTAAACAACCCTCAATAAAATGTGGTCCAATCAGAGGTCACTACACCATTTGAAAATTGGTGTTGAAAATGATGTGCTACCTCATGTGGCTTGTTGTGAGCCCAAGAGTGTGAATACCTTGTGTTCATCCTAGGTAAACTGAGTCTTATCTGTGAACAGGATGTCACACAGAATATGTAGCCATGGTTGCAGCGAATCACAAAATTGTACACAGTGGGTGTGATCTTATGATAAGATGTCTTACTCCTTGGAGGTTATATACCTAGAAACAATCATGATGCAAAATTCTCTATACCTCTGCCTGTACAATACCAGTCATCCTGGAAATTCTGCATATACATGCCCTTGGGTTTTGCTACACTGCTGTTCTTCATGTCCTGCCTTCATGCCTGGGAAGAAACCAGGCTACCTCAAGGTTCTGTGTACATTCTCAAATATTTTGCAATGCAGAATTCTGCAAAGTGAATATCATTGGCAGTATCATCACAGCCGCCCAACCATTTCCATTTCAGAAACTGTATACAAAATGCAGGTCATTTGTAAACATGTGAAGCATTTTTACTATGACTGCAATACAGTACAATCGTGCTAGTCTAGACAGTGTAGAAGTAGGAACTCTTTGTGAAGTTACAGGAGTGCCAGCTTACTCTGCTAGCGCATAACTATATAACAGTGCCGAATCCACATTTTTTGCTCCAAATGACATGCAGAACACACTCCTTAAGTTTGGTGAATGAATCGCTGAACATTCTGTGTGCATCCCCCTTCCCCCAACTGATGTACATTTTTATCAGATTGGTTACATGGAATACTGAAAATCATCACACATGAAACAATCACCTCTACATTCTCTTTACTGTATACCCTTGTCTGCAGGTATTGTAAGCTCCATGTTTTTTCAATGGCACACTTACGTTGAACTCCTACAGGACATGTTTACAATTCATCTGATGGAGAACTCTGGAGTGGATCTGCTGACATTTCTTCATCAAGATAGGATTAGTCAGTACATCTTAATGTTGTGCGCAGGTGATTCTGAACTGGCTACTTTATATGGGGTATCAGAAAGATTTGTGCTACACAAGCGGTACTGACAAATACAATTACTGATATTATGTGCATTCTCCAAATGTTGACCTGAAAATGCCCAAAACTCCACTCATGATATGTATATTTATAAATGTAAGTGTAACAAGTGTTTTATTACATGTCAAAAATGTCCAGGCACTAGAGGAATATGTACATAAAATTCTTAAGCGTTAACAGTTCTTGCTCTCCTCACCATACATAATTTAATATGCAATGAAATGTATATATAATAAGTTCTTGTCAGAACTTGTTGTAAATTTATAATAAACTTCCAACTCAGTCATCACTGTTTCTAAATGACCAAGAAAACCTTATATACATAAACACTGCCTCATGTTTTGATCACTGGCAAGGTGTTGGCCCTGATTTTTAAGCTGATTTGCTCTCCCGTCATCTTTCCACATTATTTTCATAGAAGGTGTGAAGGGCTTGCCATTGCTTGGAGCGGAGCAAGATGTGGGGACGACGGTTCTGCATAAAATGAACAGCTTGTTCTGGTTTCCAGCAGTTTTTCTGTAAAGTGACACAATATTTTAAGGATTCTTTAAAGGTGATTGGGATAATGTAACAATAAAAAGGAGCACTGTCCATCATCTCTGGCTCTTCTAAAAAGTTACTAACTTATAATAATACAAAAATGATGTATTTAGAGACTGGATTATATGGTATGTAAAATGACAAACTCTATAGGTGAAATGGAAGCAATGGGAATAAAATTACGTACATTATAAAATGACTGAATTTTTATTTACTGGGGAGGTCTGTGACGAATTTCATTCTGAAACCTTAAATTCAGGATTACAGAATTCTGTAATACCGTTTTTCCAATCTTCCAAATTTTGTGTGTGAAATGCCCACTTAATATTTATTTTGGGGACAAGATCTCTGGTGCCTTAAGAAAATCTTAAATGTGGGTTACAAATATTTGCTTTAATCTAACAAAAGAATGGGCAAATATATGTTATGTAAGTCTAAAAGCAACAGGAAATAGTATATGATGTGCCTGACTGCATAGCAGCTTCTATTTAAAGTCAATTTCTTTTTGTGCCCACGTTCTGGTTTTAACAGTAGATATGTAATATATGCACAGTATTTACACAACTGAATGCAACTTACGCACACATTTACATCAGAGACAAACTTCATACGAAGTATGCATGAGCCTGAATGTACCCATGCAGCTACTCTTAATATACAAAATGTGTAATGCTGGTCTGTTGTTCTAGTCACTCCTCGTGCATGCATCTGCTCAAGTTCAACAAAATGACAGAGACTTCAAGATCTCTTTGAGCAAACAGTAATGGCACATAAATGCTGTATTAACCTGAAAGGAAGATGATGCTCCTCCCCAGACTAAGAAACAGGTCTACACACAAACTGCAATTTATATATTAATTTCATAGTTATACAAGCCAACACATGGCAGATATTAAATACGTGTGTATATGTAATGAAAACATGTTATGAACAAAATCAGCTTCTTTCTCAGGATATCCTGTCTTCACCATTTCTATCTTCATGACTATCACTGTAATACTTGCATTATTGCTTGAGGAGGACGGATGTGCAGTGTGGTTGCTCCTGCTCTGCTTGAGTGCTTGGCGAGTTAAGATGTGTGTCTCCGTTGTGATAACTGTTCTACGGCAAGCAGAAATGCATTTGATGTTGTGTATGTGAGTTACGTTTCCACTATAATTGCCTGAAAGCTAATATATCTGAGTGCAACGTTGATGCAGCTACTGGTAAGTCATCTTTCACGTGTGATAATTGTGTTACTGGGAAGGAGCATTCGCTTGTTAATAATAATATAAACAAGACATTATCCTCTGGGATGGACTGTTCTGGATATCCTGCTATGGATAATGACTCCCCTAGCCGGCAGCTTGAAGCAGTTTGCCTTAATGGAGAATGCACCATGGAGATGGTGAAATCCCTTATGGAAATGGTCATGAACCTTAGCTGTGAAGTTCAAGTACTGAAAAGCGATAATACTGCTCTGAAACTCCAGTTGCAGGATTTATGCCAGTTTCACACACCTCCGCCATCCATATCAACAGAGGCTCTTTCATCTACACATGATGCTGTTGCTGCTAAACCTATAGGGATGTCTTAACTTTGGGAGGTGGTCACCCTGTATCCACTGCTGTATCATCCGGATCCCGCCGGCAGACCTCACTACCTGAGCCCTCTGCTATGGCCAGCGACAACCAGGCAGCGGATGGCTTCATAACAGTTCTGAGGAAAGGGAAGGAAAATCATCCTTCTATGCCTTCAGGGGTGCCCAACCCTCCAAGGAGAACTAGGACTCCACTTTTTGGTAACAAAAGTGGCTCATCTCTTTCAACTGTACCCAAGAGAGTGAGAACCAAGGCACATATTGTCTCCTGATTCTCTCCTGACGTAACATAAGCTGACGTTGAGCAGTCTTTAAAAGATCAATTGGAGCTTGCTTCCCTAACATTTACTAAGTTAAAAACAAAGTTTAGTTCATATTCCTCCTTTCACATTGCTGTTTCTGAAGATGGTTTTCATCTAATTAATAATACAGATGTCTGGCCAGTTGGTTGTCTAATCATCCCTTATTACGGGCGATTAAATCCAGACCAGATTTACACTGTGGAAAAGTCAGCCGTGTCTAGGTCCCCTTCCTCTCCGACAGGTGTTCCTACCCCTGACCATGCAAGCGAAATTATTTGGATATGTTATCCATGACCATGTTTCACACTACCTTAAGTTGAAATTAAATCCATGCCAGCATGGTTTCACAAAATATAAATCCAACACCACCAATCTAATGATCTAGATTTTATTACTCCCCTATTTGACTCTCAACGTCAAGTGGATGCCATTTACTTTGACTTAACTTCTGCTTTCGACTTCATTCCCCACTCCTTGCTTCTTCACAAACTGAGTGCCCTTGGATTTTCTGGTGGTTATGTAAACTGGATATGCAGTTACCTAACCAACAGACAATTGCGGGTCCGTATTGGTGAAAATATATCATTGCCTTTTGAAGTATTGTCTGGTGTTCCACAAGGATCTGTTCTTGGGCCTCTGCTTTTCAGTGTCTATATAAATGACTCTTGTGATTCAATTAAGCACTCCAGGTACCTACTCTTTGCAGATAACATAAAAATTTGCCATGCTATTAGCTCTCCTGAAGATCGTAATCTTCTGCAATCTGACATTGACTGTACATAGCTGGTGTGCAGCAAAGTATATGAAACTCAGTGTTGAGAAAACAAAAGTTATAACATTCTCCAGGAAAACTAACTATCTGATATATGCGTACAAACTTTTTCACTTCCCTATAACTCGAACTTATTCAGTGAAAGACCTGGACGTATATCTTGATTCTAAACTTCATTTTTGTAATCATGTTAATTTTATATTTTCACATTGTGTTAAGAAGCTAGGTATAATTCGTAGTATCACCTTTAGCTATTCAACCCTTGGATGCACGTTCATATTATACTTTACTTTAGTTAGATCCAAGGTTGAATACGCTTCAGTAGTTTGGAATTCCATTACGTCATCTGATTCAAACAAACTAGAACCAATTCAACAGAAGTTTGTGGCTCTCTGTTTTAAACTTTTTTTTTCTCAAGTTGATTACTGTTACAATTTTGCTTTAGAACAACTGATATTGCACACCTTACAAAAGAAGAGATATCACATTCATGCATTCTTCCATATTCAAGTTTATCATCGTTCTATACTTTCCCTTCTGCTTTGGAAATTGTTGGCCTTCGGATCCCTGTTTGATATATCCGAGACTTTCCTATGTTCAATGTCTGTTCTGTTAGTAAAAATTGCCCCTCTGCCAGATGCACTTCTGCTGCTAATGCGGTTTGTAGGGACGTTGACATCTTTGGCCAAAAACTCTGTTGTTGAAACATATCTTATACTGAATTAATTAAACTATTGTTATTATCATTACTGTTGTTATTATTATTATTGCTGTTATTATTATTATTATTATTATTGTATACTGCTCTATTTGAAACTCGAATTGTTCTTCGCTGTCACACTGTGGCTTTGTTTCTGTATCTTTATTCATGCTCACTTTGTAATTAATTTAGACTGATATTTTTTATTCTGTTTTTTAATAATTTTTGTGTATTTCTATCTATTCATGATAACTTTTTAATTAGCCTCTATGCTGTTAAGTTTGCATGTAAATAAACACGAACTGAACTGAATTATTATTATTATTATGTACACTGTGCTCTGTCTGTAATTGGCCTTGCGGCTGTTGGCTCGGCACATAAATGATAAATAATTGAAATGAAATTATTCACTGGCAAAACAACCATTTTTGAGCCAGTCTTTCTTAGAAGATTCTGCCAGACCCATTCCTTTGTGAATTAGACCGTCCAGATTGTCCTTTGGATTTCATAACAAAGTGTATTAGAGAGCAAGGTTGTTGGCCTTGTGTCCAACCTCCAAACTGGAGGGCTAGGTATTTGTACTTATGTCCCCCCCCAGGCATTGGATTCCCTATTCCTCACCTTCCATGACTCACAGGGCTATGATGGAGATATTCTAACCCACCTCCACATGCAACATATTAGTCATTCATTGGATGAAATTTATAGGTATGAAAGGTTTAGACACAAAGTGGATATAAGGTGAAGAGTTCTATATCACATCGTCCAATGGACTGATTTTTATTGTACTACAAAGCATTCTATCCCAGGAGACAGAACTCTTCATAGGCAGGGCAGCAGGAACCTCAAATCCAGCATAGTTAGAAGGTATTCATAATGAAATGGGAGAAAAAAATTTGAAAGAAGGGGACTGAAACAACTGAGAGTTATGAAGTGTAAGACCATGAAATTAGTGGATGAGGGAAACCCCCAAAGAATAAGAAGTCATGCATCAAAACTCTATCAAAGGTGAAAGAATAAAGTGCTGACAAAACATGAAGGGAACAGATGGTGTAGCTACGCATGTTAGCAATGGACAGAAAAACATCCACATTTTTTTTTATACAGCTCTCCATAAGCAACATAGATAAGTGGTCAGCTTTACACTTCATAGTGTTACAGGCTACATGAATAGGAATAGTGTACATCACACTAACCTGCATAAGGTAGCAGCCCACAAGGGTACTGCTGCGAGTACGGCCGGCCTTGCAGTGAACATACACAGAGCCACCTGTTCCAGCTACCTCATTGATGAAACTTACACCTTTCTTCAGCTTTTCCTGACATGGTGCCTCAAATATGTCTCTCGTATGAAGCTGCAGAAACTTCACCCCTCTACTTTCCCATTCCTGAAAACAAAACAGTAGGTATTATATTCAGGCACACTGCTAATCCTTCAACTTTCACACAGAAATGCTATTCAGATCCACACGGCGTTTCCGTCTTTTAAATTTGTTTCTAGATTTAAACAAAAATTATATTTCTAGACATTAAAATCAGCTCCTCCAGTGAGACTGGAATGCTTGACAAGTTCTACAGTCCATTCGCGGAGACGAGAGAGTCCTCGTAAACAAATGCACGCGGTACCTCCTTCGCTCTTTGAATGAAGTCATGCAGCGATCACGTGATGCGTGTCCCGTTGCAGGGGCGTCCAAAGTTCACTCTTCAGTCTGAATGCAGGTTAACGTGCATCCGAATGCAGTGAGTACAATGAAGTAACTGCGCGCTTTGTCCACTCCTTGCTGTCAGCTGTGGCGACGCGGGGCTTGCTTTGTTTACGCTAACTGTCTCGTCTCCGTGAATGGACTATAGGTTGACGTACTGGTAACTCACGTCTCAATAATATTAAACTGTAAAGAACACCTCAGTAGTGGTACTTCCTACACAACAGATGTAATCACTGTACTGCCATGAAGTAAATTTCATGAATTGGGTAGTGGCATTTCTCTGCATAACACCTGAGAGTGAAATACACGTACTATTACATCCACATGACGACTATAATGTTAAGGAAAAGTTGTCCCTGTGCTCAACTAATTAAGCACTACACCATGAAGACATATAGGGGAGTGGAGGTATAGATCCACACTTTCTTGGCCTTGGCACTAGTTGGAGGAGAGTTGTCAGCTTCACGCCCTGGCCGCTTTACCCCTGGGAAAGAGCCCCCAGTACCCATTGTATAGGAGGTTGGCTGGACCCCAGAGCCGGTTTGGATTACTGGCAAAAAGAAAATTCTTGACTCCTCAGTCGCCCAACCCATAGCCAGTCACTATACCAACTATGCTATCCCGGCTCCAAACTTAAACTCACCTTTCTGCCATTTGCAAACAGCCAAAGCTCATAGTCTTCATTCATTGACACCACTGCTTTTACATTCTCTTTATCAAGAAGCTGCACACAAATGAAATAAGAAAAGAATGGTCAGAAAAATATTTTCAGAAGTCAAGATATATTTTCTCCTTTACACCTTATATTTTCTGATACAAAGGTTATCACTATCCAGCTTTATATTGAAATTACATTAATTTCTTTTGTTCAAATCCTACATTCAAATGATATCATTAACTCTCCTTACATTTGTTAAGTTTCTCCCACTATTTTTCTTTTTATATTTACTTGTTCTAATGAGTACCACATAAATTTCACAGCCATTTTCCCACACACTATGTTCCAAATCTTTTAACTTATCACCCTGGGCAGTTTCTTAACAACCTACCTCAAAGGACAGCTATCACACACAACCTGCAAAATAAACTATACTACACAAATTCTCAAGTTTTCACAGCAGTGGTTGGGTTGTGAGTCTGTGGAGTCTTGTAGGCAGATGCTGATGTATCAGAGGAGCATGGTAAAAAAGGCATGCAGGTTGAGGAATTGGCTCAGTTATACAGGGACATTTTTAAACCTATTTATGTGTTCATGGCTCCATGCTTCACTGCTACTGGGGCACTGCTGGCCGCTAAGCACAACGCAAATTTTGTTGATGACTCAGCATGCTTGACAGCCAATAAGGTTTGGAATGAAAGAAAATAATTAACTAGTAAACCTCTACACAGTATTATGTTACACAGGGGGAAGTGTGGTTAATGCATGGGAGTTTGTTTATGATTTCTCAGCAGTAGGTAGGAGTTCATAAGTGCCATAAGTCATTTTTTTCCCAGTTAACAGTTAAGTCAGCAGTTTGGTATGACATGGTTCGTGATATATCAGAGCAACGTGTATTTCTCTAAGAGACCTATGTGAAATATGGATCTGCTAGAAAGTGTCAGCAAAAATTTTGACATAATTTCCATAATGAAAGAGTTCCCAGCAGACAAACAGTTCACAATTTAGTGAATAAACTTAGAACAATGGGACTCAGACAAGAAAACAGAACATAAGCATCAAGTGCTTACTGAGGAGAAGTGATCATTGTGATTGTTACTTCTGGGCTCATGTGAAGGACAAAGTTTACAGCAGTAACCCTTGAATGGAAGGACTGAAAGAAAACATTCGCAGAGAAACTTCAAATATTCCTACAGAGAATCTTCCGCCAGTGCGAGGATTGTCTATGTGTAGAGAGGCAGCATTTTCAACACCTTCTGTGATTTGTGAACAAAGGTAAGAACTTCCCTTCATTCCAAATGTTATTGGCATGCTGAATCATTGGCAAAATTCTCGTGCACTCCGCAGCCAGTAGTGCACCGGTCGCGGTGAAGCACGGAGCTGTGAACATATTAAGTTCATTAAAAACCACTCTGTATAAGCTGATTACAAGGCAGGTGGTCATTGTGGGGAGAGGGAATAGGGAAATGAGTTCAATCTGGGCTAATGTTAATGGTGGATAGCAAAATGGCCCTTCCCCACATATAAGGAAAATATATAGGAATACTGAAGTGGGTTTCCTTTTCTTACAGTTTCACTTTCCTTACTGAAAGTAATGCTGTGTCCCTGGAAACGGTCATTCTTTATTCAATTTCCTGCTGGTGTCTAAAAACTAAGAGTACGCCTCAGAAGGGCTGCTTTCCCACCCATAGTGACAACTGGCCCCATTGCAGCTCCTCCTTTCCCCCTTCCTTGGGTTTCAGTGACCATCCTCCTTGCAACCTGCCTATATAACCAACTCCTCATCCTGCACACTTCAACCTTGAAGATGGAGGCAGAATGTTCCTTTGAAACGTGTGTGTTTAAGAGGACTGAACAAATGGAAGTCGCTTGGACTTCCCACTTGAAATTTCACAGCGTCTCATTTATCTGTGTACGATGGGTGCCGTGCAGGCTGACCCCACAACACAAAATGCAAAGAATGGGTCTGGCATTAAAGCATTTCCATCACTACCACAATGGACATGATATGCTAGCCTGAATTGCCACAGGTGATGAATATTGGGTTCACCATTACCACCAGCTGAATATTTTCCTGACAATGAAGCTGTAGAGAGGGTAGTAACCGCCTGGTTCTGACAGCAGCCCAAAGAATTTTATGCTGCCGGTTTTCAGGGGCTTGTGAAACGATGGGACAAGTGACTCAGTGTACAGGGAGCTTATGTTGAGAAATAAAAGCATTTTTCAAGTCAGTACTCTTATTTGTTTAAGTTCTGTATCCATTTGTAACTTACTTATTGACTTACCTACATTATTAGGTTTGGTAACTGCTAACAAATGGCTAATTAAGCTAAAGCTATCACCGTAAGAGGCCATGTAGGCCCATAGAGTTGTGAGACCTCGAGGTTCTCACATTTTCTAGACAATCGGCTCACATATGGCAGTAAGGTTGTCAGCCTTAAGCGCCAGCTGCCCTTTATCCCCCAGGAAGATTCCTGGTACTCATTTCTGTTAGAAGCTGAGTCGATCCCAGGACCACAGTGCAGCTGGTAGGATTAAGTAAATTAAAAAAAAAAAATCCAATGTCCTCATCTGGAATCGAACCTGCGACCTTCCAGCTTGCAGCATTGTGCTTCAACAAACTATGCTACCGTGTGCCCTAAGAAATGGCCAGTTCTGGAACTATTTAAGCGCTAAATTAAACTGTAAAAATTTCTTTAATAGTAATTCTATTATTCCTGTTAGTTAGCCATCTCACATGCAACTTTCTTTTTAAATCGTTAAAATCTCTTCTACATCACTGGTGTATGCACACTACATGATTCGACCAACATTGGTCATCTTCAGGGGTCTCTAAAATTGTTGATGAAACTGCTGTGCTACTCACAACACAATAAGAGGAACTACCCATCACCATGGTTGCACAGACAACAGCATATCCCAAAAACTTAATTTGTGGGAGGAAGAATGGGAGTTCTGTCAACAGTTTTAAAGACACCTGAATATGAGCAATGTTTGTCGAAACATGTAGTGTGCATACACCAGTGTTGTAGAAGAGATTTTCATATATAAAACTTTTAAACGACAAGTTATATGTGGGACATCTAACTGGAATGAATGGGTGATGTGCAACTTGTTGCACATATTCATATTAACTGTAAGAAAGCAATGAAGGAATTCTTGTTCTTTTATTTAAAAAACACAAGCTATATTCACTAAATGTATTCAACTGATCTCTTGCAGTGTTATCTCCAGATCAAACGCATACAAATTTAATTAAGGTTAAACAGTTACTAAGGATGGTCGGCATATACGCTCTCGATTGCTTACCGAACTGACAGGTTACTAACCTGGCCCGTCATGCCACGAAAAGGTAGGGCTCCCAAGATAACATTATCGTCAATTCTGTCATACCAATTACGACTAGTTACTTTTTCCATTACGACATTGTAGAACAATGTCGGATACAATGTCAAACGACCAAACATTATTATTATTATTATAACGAACACACTCTCACGCTTTCACCTCCAAGTCACTACCCACACTGTTTCACTGCTTCAATCGAAGTGAAGTTACGAGCGTTACGAGCAACAACACGCTCTTTCATCCCTATATGGGCCAATATAGACAACACGTTTCAAGGCTACTACCAACCGGCTGAATCTTTACGATCTTTACCAGGCTGCTACTGACGCAACACCAATGTATTTATGGTATTCATTACGATAAGCATGGGTTTGATCGTTTCATACACATAGCAAACATACTTGTCTGTTTCCTATGACATTTAGCGGTCCGTGTCTTTGACCTCTTTGACAGTGCTGCCATATACTTCGCAAAAACTAACTGCTGTGGTACCGCTATATTTTTGTACAGTCACCTGCAAAAGTCTGAGAAACACTGCATCAAACACAATGTCTGGTAATGTTCTATAATTTCAGTCCTTTAAAATTAATAATTTATTCCTCCATCCATTTTAAAAAATAATACAGAAATATGGGAGTGATGGTGCTTTAGTTATACTGATCCAGAACCAACGGAATGAAGTGTATAAAGACATCAGAAAAAACAATACTGTAGCAGACTAGCAAGTATCATTTTGTTTTTGAAAGGGATTCTGTATGTCATGATATTCTGAAAGAATACTATATTTAGCAAAGTATTTTAAAATTCTGTCTGCTTGACATCAGTGATGAACTTTTACTCTTTAAAATTACAATATGAAGTTCCAAAGCAGGTATGAGATTAAACGTCTGATAATTCTTTGGTATTGTAAACTAGCAGCTATCTACATCTGGGAATACAACAAAATTTTACGTTTATTTTTACACTCCCAAAGGTCAGAGCAGTTAAGGATGGTTTACTCATGCACAGCAGCTCCTGGTGTAAAGATGCTAATCACAGCATACCTTTGTTCAACTAAATTTATGAAAGGATGGAGGTTTTAAGGAGTTCTGCCTTCTGAGATACAACACCATGTAGTCTGCTGAAAGTCAACTGACATTCTGGAGGAACATGTCGCCTCCATCTTCAGGGTTGAAGAATAAGCCAAGCATGAAGCAGGCAGCAAAGCACAGCTGTACATGATGGAGGTGACACTATCCTCCAAATCACTGTTTGACTTCTAACAATTGGTGTTCGAGCTGCGCCACAGCTCAAGCAGTTAGTCGCTGGCTTCCCAGGTTCGGTCAAGTGGGATTTGTGGTGGACAAAGTGGCTCTGGGGCAGGTTTTCTCCGAGTACTTCGGTTTCCCCTGCCAATCTTCATTCCGATTGCTCCACAATCACCCTCACCTATCATCTGGGGCTGGTACAATAGGCCAGAAGTGGCCGCAGTACAAGGGACTTAGTCCCACCCCATGAGCATTAAAAAATAACTGTAAAGTGTAGTTCCAAGTGGAGTATACAAGTGGTCAATAAATTCATTTTATAATCCATACCCCATCTATAGTCACCTACCCCTAAATCATGACAATAACAACATATGCAACAGTGCCATAAACATGAATTTAAATCTGAAACACATAAACTTAAATCGAAAACCCCCTAGTATAAATAGTCTAACAAAACTTCATAAACTAATATGCCAGCCTGACTGGTTGTGAACTGGTGCAACATCCCAGCCTGCAGGCTAACCAAACACATCAGCAGTCTTCTCAAGGAACACATTCAGCTACCTGATTCCCTCAAAATCAAAAACTCAATCAGTACTGTCATGTGTGTCTGTGACTATAGACAGGGTCTGGATTGGAGATCGAATTTACTGAGTACATTTAATTATAGTGCAATCGCTGATCTCCACACTTTACAAATCACTACAGCACCTGCTAAATCTTTTCAGTCTGTTGTGGCTTAACAAGTCGTTCCCTTGTAATGGCTTCTAACGTTTGAGATTTTTCAGCTTCTGCACTCATGCCATTGCCAACTGGCTGTCTCACAACTGAACCGAACTCTAAACCTGTCCCACTGATAACCCCTTGGCATAGACCGAGTAGAAAACACTGTTTCCAACAGTTCCAATATTGTTGTGTGTGGACTATTGGGGTTACCACATGATTGCTACACAGCAGCCCACTGGTGCACTGTCTGCTGCCTAGCAATGGGTGTATAAGCCACACTGCTCCCTCCTTAAGGCTATTCGTTCTAAATTGTCTACCGGCATATTGCCCTTTCTTCTTTTCTGAGAGCTGTGCTTGTGACGTCTGTGATTGTTCTCACTTTCCTCTCCACAGCTCAGTTTTCAAGGTGATTATTCCTCCAACCACTCCCACTGCTGCCTCCTTAAGGCCACTCATCCTTACATTGTGTTATTTAATCTTGTTTTCATTGGTAAAATCAAAACTTCAGTTCAGTAATATTTTCCTTGAATGCAGAAGTAAGTTCAGCACCCCCAATTATATCCCTCTCTTCAAACAGATTAGTAGTGAAAGACACAGTGAACTTCATAAGCGGCCTCCGTAGTCTAGCGGTAACGTTCCCACCTCATGACTCATGGTATGCGGGTTCAAATACCCGGCGGAGGTCGTCGAATTTTTAAGGGCGGAAAAATTCAGGGAACAAGTCCTCCGGGAGGGACTTTAAGCTGTGTGTCCCGTGTCGTAACTTTATGGCACATAAAAGAACCTCATATCCCCAAAGGGGATCACTGAGCCAAATTCCAGGACGTTTCCTGCCCAACAATAGTCTCTAAGGCCTCTGATAGATGGGGGAAGCGTTACAGACACCGCTAAGCAAGTGGCCGAACTCGCTTGCTCGGCGGGACTGATGGTACGCACCATTTATTGGTAGGGTATAGAGACTGGTAGAATATCATAGAGGGAAGCACAATAGATCAAACTGGTCGTGGTGCATGGGGAAACCCACCCTCTCTAAATAACTAACTAACTAGTGAACTTCATGTATTCAGCATCTTCAAATCTTCTTTCAGACTCCTTCAACAGTTTATTAATATACAGAATGTGGACATACACATTAAATACACTGTTGGGGTAACTGCGAAAACTTGGGGAAAAAAGGTTCAAACACTTCTCATCAGCTGAGTCTTCCACAGCTTCAGGTTTTATGAAAATCAGGTGGTAAGCAGAACAGCTTGCCACCTGCTTTCATGCTGGTTTCTTGCTTTGACTTATTCTTTGATCCTGAAGATGGAGGCAACATGTTCCTCTGAAATGCCAGTTGATTAGCAATGTACTAACTACATTGTGTTGTATCCCAAAGATACAACTCTTCATAACCACGGTTCTGAGAACCTTAAATCCTATATTTCAATGATAGTCTTGGTTTTGCCTATGAGCTAAGTACTGAACTTGTTTAGTTTATCATTAAGATGTGTGAAGAAAGCAAGATCTAGCAACCAAGGAGAATCTTTCAATTGTGGAAGTAAATCACCTCTGTTCTAAGGAAATCCAAAATTTCAGAAGCAGCTGGTGGAACATGAACAAAACTTTTCCTCTACTCAGCCAAGGGATTTCAGCATGTAATACCAAGTCTCTATAATGCACATTAATTTTGTTTAATAAATGTTCGAAGAGCCTATGCTATGAGGACTAGCACAGATCAAGTTTAGAGTTTTCTACACAACATTCATCATATGTTGAAAGTCGGTCACTTCTGTACATACAGCTTGCTGATGAATGATACAGTGATAACTAAAAAGGCTGGGAAAATGGGATCACTTTTGTGAAGCCCAGTGAATCCAGTGTTTTCACTAGTCATGGGTGGAGTGCTCTGAAATATTTTTTCTTCTATAGTCTTCCCATGCAACAGTACTGTTTTTAACAGTGTGTGCTTAATATTGCCACCACCAAAAACCACCCAAATAAAAACAACTTACTGGGAAACATCACAGACATCAGTTGACTCATCTATCTGAAAGTTAAAAATTCACAAATTTCAAGATATTGCTTAAATTGTTCAGTGTTAATAGGACATACGAGGGCAATTCAGTAAGTAAGTTACAAATGGATATAGAACTTAAACAAATAAGAGTACTGATATGATAAATGCTTTTATTTCTCAACATAATTTCCCTGTACTTGTTCCATCGTTTCACAAGCCCCTGAAAACCAGCAGCATAAAATCCTTTGGGCTGCTGTCGGAACCAGGTGTGTTCACATGGCATGGCCTACCTCATAATGCGTGACAGGTTAGGTTTTCACAAAGTCTGTGCACGATGGGTGCCGCACATGCTGACCCCACAACATACGAGGGGGGACCAAAAAATAACCCGAAACGACCTGTTGCGCGTGCATGCTTTGTAGTTACGAGTTGTGCTGCTAGGTGGTGTTAGCTGGGGGTCTCCCGCGACTGTTAGTGGAGCTGGCGTCAGTCTGAGTTAAGTGGTTTGTCTGTGGTGCTCTGTTGTGTGCGTTCCTGTTTCAACCCTTTGGCGATTAGTGAGATGGCCGACCAGAAGGAACAAAGAGTGTGTGTGAAATTGATGAAGATCGTCGAAAGACCACTGACCAACCTTCTGAGGAAACGAACATCTCATGGAGCACGGTCCAGCGAATTTTAACCGAAGGTTTGCACATGAGACGGGTGTCTGCAAAATTTGTTCCTCGCTTGCTCGGAGATGACCGAAGAGAAAACTGCGTGAATGTTTGCCGTGACTTGAAGAGTGAAGTGCAGTTTTCCCTAACAGAAAGCAAAATTTCACGCACACTCTTTGTTCCTTCTGGTCGGCCATCTCACTAATCGCCAAAGGGTTGAAACAGGAACGCACACAACAGAGCACCACAGGCAAACCACTTAACTCAGACTGACGCCAGCTCACTAACAGTCGCGGGAGACCCCCAGCTAACACCACCTAGCAGCACAACTCGTAACTACAAAGCATGTGCGTGCAACAGGTCGTTTCCGGTTATTTTTGGGTCCCCCTTCGTAAAATGCAAAGAATGGGTCTGGCATTACAGCATCTCAATCGCTACCATGATGGACATGATATGCTAGTCCGAATTGTCACAGGTGATAAGTCTTGGGTTCACCATTACCAGCCTGAGACAAAGCGTGCGTCAATGCAGTGGAAACATCCTGTGTCGCCTTGAGGGTGGAATGCGGTGAGCAGTATGCCTTCCTGATCCAAGAAGACTGTGAGTATCACTTTCCTGGAGGATGGTGTCACCTTAAACTTTTTTTTGGCAGGCGATGCAGGATGTTTCCACAAGGTGGGCCTCCAGTTTGAAAATCTAAAACATTACAACCATGTGTTGTGTTTCATATTGCTAAGATTTTAAATTGGGTGTGATCTCTTGCACAGCAAGGCTGACTGTAGGACCAACAATGAAAATAACAGAAGCCACTGTGGGTGCCAGCGCATCTTCAAACTCTTAACTAGAAAATGTCATAACAGTGCACATTGGTGATCACTACAAGTCCTGGCAAAGAACTGCCCCTCAATATGGACTTATGATAGGGTCACTTGGGAATATGAAAGTGGTGGTAAGTTTTCTTTCATAGTGTGCCAGGTAGGGCAGGCCTGATCTAGGCTAAATTTTACTCTACATTCATTGTACCAAAAATCAGTTCCACCAGTCACATATTAGACAGGGAGTAGGTTCAGCCTACAAAACAGGAATCCCATAAGTAAATACTACCAACATAATCTATCACAAAACTAAATCAAAGATTAATCAAACCTAGTCAAAATAATACTTTGTATACTCACAGTTTCAGATATCCCCCACACACTGGCAAGAATGGAAAATAATGCCAATGTTTTCTGATGATACCTAGTGGGAAGGTTTGATGACCTATGAAACTGCTTGCAAGGGGAACCCAATCACAAGAATTTCACAATAAACCTTATTTCCACACACAAAAAAAAAAAGACATTCAAGTCAATCTAAACCAATAAAATGAGAACTAATCTATTGTGTCTACATATAGTGCAATAAATCTGATATATATATATATATACATGACTGTATGGGATTCATTTATACCTCACTGATGAATACATGGTCTGATGATAAAGTTGGCAAACTCACTGTGGTAAAAGTGCTATATACCTCACTGCTGAACATTACTGTGGTCGCCTTCGAAGTACTCCCCTTGGGAAGTGATGCACCAATGCCAGTACTTAGTCCACTGATTTTGTGGAATGTCCTTCAGAGCTGCTGTCATATTACTCCTGTCACCAGTGTCTTCAAAAAGCCTTCCTTTCAATATTTCCTTTATCTCCAGGAAAAGGAAAAAGTCACTGGGGGCTAGATCTGGTGAATAGTAAGGGCGTTCCAGCAGTTATTTGTTTACTAACTAAAAACTCCCTCACAGACAGTGCTGTGTGAGCAGGTGCATTGGCCACACTTCCCTCATGTCAAGATCTTCAGTTACCATTTCTTTAACTGTTTCTCTGTCAACATGCACTTGCTCTACTATGCTCCTGACAGTCAGCCAACGATATTCATGCACAATTTGATATCTTATGCAATGTTTTCTTCAATTCTGCTCAATGATGGCCGTCCTGAACTCCCTTCATCAGTAACACCTTCTCTTCCCTCAGAAAAACGTGTCACCTACTTGTAAACTGCGGTTGTCTTAATAGCATTATCCCCATAAACTCTGATTTCGCTTCCACTCTTCCCAATTAACAAGAAATTTAGTGTTCATTCGTTGCTTTAATTCAAGCTGACATTCTTGCAGCAGCACAACTAAACACACTCAAACAATAATAGACACCACTCAGAAAGAGACTGCCATAGATCAACAATACAGCTGTGAAACGCTGATATGCCAACGTAATCAAACCATACTGAGGTTTCTGTCCACTGCTGCCATGGCAAGCACATTGTGGCGAGTTCGCAAACTTTATTGTCAGACCTCATACATGTACCAATGCCTTATTCATTTCAAAGTCCAATTTTACATCTCCCAGTCAATTTCATTTAATATCAACTTTATACAGTTGCACAATGGATACCACTTTAGACATAAATTACAAAAAATGGTAACTTTTACTAAATTACAAGTTTTGTATTTTTTTGTGAGTTTCGTGTAATTTTATATGTACGCCCACCTTATAATGATCATTTTAGTGACCGATATACACTCAACTCTCGATTATCCGGGGGTGGATTAATCGGTTTGTGGTTTAACCGGGGCTTTTTTGAGGCTTATATGTTGTTTAATATTCATTCACTTTTGTTTCACATGGTGAGTTATAACACTATTTTCGCACCAGTGTGAAGCGAGCTCTGCATTCTTTGGTCCCGTTATGCTAACACAATGTTCTAGGGTAGGGGTGAAAGAATGCAAGGATTTGTGGAAAGTTTCAAGGACAGATACACCGCCCCAGTTAGCCTCTTTGTATCGATCTTCAAGTGCGTTAGCAAAATGTCAGGGTGTAAAAGGAAGAGTGTTGTGTTAAGTATTCAACAGAAACTTGTATGAGCTGGGCTTCGAAATGTTAAACAGTGACGAAATTGTAAGTTCAGTCGGGGTGCAGCCAGAAGAGCGGGAAGAAAGTGAGAATGAGGAAGAGGTGGACAGTGCTGCTCTTAATCATTTGGAATCCTTACTAGACTATCTTGAGAGTGAAGAGAAGAGTTTATTAACTGACAAGCTAATATCACGTAGGCTTCGTACGGATATCCGTAAAAAGGAAAATGCCGCGAAAAAGCAAACGACAATATTAAATTTTTTTAGAGTTAAGTGTGAATATTCGTAAAAAGTGTTGGATGTTGTTGAACACTGTGACTGAAATAACTAATTCACATTTCAGTGTAATGTAAAAAAAAAAGTATTAAATAGGCCATGAGAGGACATAAAAATGAGGTTGAATAAATTTAAATACAGGTAGGCCTATAGTAGTATGAAGGTACAGTATTACAGTAGTCTTAACCGGGTTTTCGATTAATCGTGATTTCCATCCACACCATTATCTTGGATAATCGAGAGTTGAGTGTACTTGTATGTACCTGAATCAACGGCATCCATATAAATAAAGCCTGTGTGCAACAGCATACAGTAATCATTACACTGTCAATGAACTGCTGAATAATATCCTGTTGCATTAATCTACTCTTCATAAAAGTTACTACATTTCGCTCACAATGCAACCTGTTTATTATCTACCTCTCTTTCCACTACAGGTTTCAGCCAAATATGGTCATCATCAGACTAAAACTGTTTCAAGGCGTAATATGTGCAACTTCACGTATCACATGTAAATGTGATATCTTCCACTTAAAAATAAATGTAAGAAGTCAAAGTTGTCCTTGTGCTTAACTAATTAAGCACTATGGCACAAAGGCGTATTGGGGAGTTGATGTACAGATCCACATTTGGCACAAGCTGGAAGTGAGTGGTCAGCTTCATGTCACAGCTGCTTTACCCCCAGAACCCGCTGGATAGGAGGTTGGGTGGACCCCAGAACCAGTTTGGATGATGTGGAGAAGAGAAAATTCTTGACCCTACCAGGACTTGAACTCTGACCCCTCGGTTGTCCAACCCATAGTTAGTCATTATACCGACTACACTATCCTGGCTCCCAAAAACCTTCCATAAAGAATGTTTAGAGAAGGGAAACCCAACTTTGACTGATAATTTCTGCAATTGCTCTTTCGAAGATGGAGGAAGTTTCCATTATGCCATCTACTGGGGCTGCTTTTGTAACAAAAAAGAGAAGGTTCTCCATAAGCAAACAACACTGAAGTTACCCACAAGTAAGACAGGCACACAAATTTGTAAAGCTAAGGGGAGAGTGGATGTGTGTGACTACGTAAGGTATCCTGGTTTATTTGTGTTTGTCACAGCTTCTATGCTTTAAACATTTCCTTCAATCATACACACTCATTGGTATAAAATTCAAAACACATATATATAAATAAAAAGTTTTAAATATGATTTGAAAACTATTAGCAAGTCCCAACAAACAACTCTATCTTTGTTTTGAGATGAGTGATAATCTAGGATTATGAACAGTGAACCACAGGAAAAGAATCTGCAAAAGGTCACACATCATATTACTGTACTAAGCTGGTATTTTCAAGGATCAAATAAGCTGAGTAAGGTACTTAGTCTGTGGAAGTTCAAATTGAAGTTCATTTCCATTATTTCACAGCTATTTATTCGGAAAATGGCTGCCAAGTTATTAAAAACAAATACACAAAAAAGAAATAATTCAAAGGTTGCATAAAAATGAAAATTAATTTCATGTTCCTTATCCCTTAAATTTCCATTTTATGTAAAGATTCTTTAATCTTCATCATCTACATAAAATATATAAATAAAACTGACTGATTTCCCATCTGGCAGATCTCATGGAGTGAGGATTCTGACCAGTTTTACAACTTCATTGAACATGATCACATTTGGTACATAACAACACATCACCTAATTCTTTCTAATAACATTTTTCAACATGGATTCCAGAATTACAGGAAATTAACATATTTCTTCCCAGAGCAGGAGTCTGGCATTTCCTTTGCGCTGTCACAGCTACAGAAAGTACTGATGGGTGCATTTATGGCAATATATTCTCATGTTTCAAATTTGTTTCACAAAATTACCAAAGATAGCAGAACATTATACATATTTTAAATTAAACAAATGTAAGTATAATGCATACTGGTAGAAAATGTACTTATGTCAGATGATTAGCAAGCTACAAAATAACCAACACATACCTATGATGCCTTCATCATAAAGTTCCTATAAACACAAAATCACTCACAGAAACTCCATTTCTCGTTCAATCCCAACAAATTTAAGCTGCTCTGTTGGACCATATCTGTAACACAAAAATTCAATTTTAGTTTTCTGCCTTAAAAATTATCACTGAAATCTGTGTAATTATTATAATGTGTCTGAATTTCCCCACTCAGCCCAGCTAAGTGCTAACCGCAAAATATCAAATAGCTAGAGATGCAAGTACCCAGCCATTGAAATGCATGCTTATGCTTCTCTACATGCATCTGCGTTTAGGACTTAAAAGGTGTCCATACATCCCCAGATTTCTGAGATATGGAAACAAGTGCAATGAACTTATGACAGGGATTTGATTTTACAGGAAAACTGTTATGTTACTTGAAAACATGACTATGTGAAAATTACTGCCTTCTGGAATGTGACACCATGCAATATAGAAGAATTTGTACCTCTACCCTGAAGATTCAGGCAGCTGATACCTAAAAAACATTGGTATTTATCTACTAAGCTACACAGTTCCACATCCCTTCACAGTCATTGGCATGATAATCACAAACCTCACAGGAGAATTTTTTATAACCATGTTACAAATACAGCATAACTCTGAACAAAGCAAACCAAAGTGGCTTTATGTACACATGGACCAAAGGCAGTTACACAAACACGCTCAATATGCCTTACATCAGGTTCGAGATATTTATGAATTCCCAGTACAGAGTTTCAAAGATGCAACTCTGGTTTCCAGGGGTTAACTATACTGAATCTTTCTCATTGTTTCAGCATATACTACCTCTTCAAGGTGAATGTGGGAGAAGGAGAAGTGGACCAACACATGAATCCTGCAGAGGGTTCAAGGGTAGAGGTGCCCTTACTCCCACTGTGAAACCTACGTATCAGTCCACCATCCCCTTCCATCTCAATCGCCTTGAAGCCAGTGACTGCAACATGCACCAAAACAATGGAAGAGATTCAGCACACAATGTGAATAAATTCTGAAGGATGAAGTTTCACATTAGATATATGCTGCCAAAACCTAAGGACAATAGCTTGGTGGGCTGCGTTTCATTTCCCTTAAAACCATTACGGATGTTTTCATTCAGCTAAATGTCACAGGAAGAGTTCTAGTATATTCCTTCCTTGAGTGTTCTCTGTAAGTATGCATCAGTGAGGGTGAGACCAGATGTACTGTGAGCAAAAGAACCTGCAATATTTGTCAGGCAGTACGTGAATTTGTGTCATCTTACTAGAAAAACTGTTCCAGCACCTGCAGATTTCTAAGAGGACAAAACTGCTGAAGATCGCAAAGAAAGGACACATTAATTTGCTGTAGATACATGTTCCAATTAACTGTCTCTCATGTATCATGTTCATTATAAAATTAAAATAAACAGTGAGATGTCATGGCCTGGAATGCTGATTACAGCAATTTTTCATAGCAATGGGAATGTTCCCTAAAGTTATTTGGCTTTTCAGAATCCAAGAATCATGCTGTTTGTTTGTTAACGTATTCAGGAAGTATGACATGGCAATCATCAGAATACTACATGCTATATTTAAAGCTGTCATTCTCAAAGACACCTGCAAGAAAGCAGTAACAAAATACATTCCTTTGTACTATATTAGGGGCTTCAAAGTGATTCACAGCGTGCACGTGATAGGAATATGTTCCTAACTCATGAACAATTTGATGTACAAAAGATACTTTTACTCTGAGTTTCACTGCTGATGTATTTCTTGGGGGGGACTGCAACATTTTATTAAGTACTTCACCCAAATCACTATTACCATGAGTTCATTTCTTTCCATGGGTAGGAGAGATGTCATATGACAGTACTAGAATACTGTCTACAAAAGATGTACAGCAATAAAATCAAGCTTTTCAAGAAACTGCAACACCTGATTTCATGTCACCACCACCAACTAATTTACAAAAATGTAAAGTTCAAAATTTGTATGCCCTGCTATAACATAGTTGCAGAATACACATCCCATGGACAACATAATGGCACAACCCTTGTACACTTACATATGCATTCTGAATGGGCATATGACTTATATAACAATAAAACTGTGGCATGTAAACCCATTGCTAAGCAGTGAATCTGTAAACATCAGCTGTTGCTAGACAATGCCTGCAACACATATGCGACCAACAGTATAGGAACAGTGTTTTCTATGTCCACAGATGGACCACTGCTATGCAATGCACGCGCTGTGATGTCACACAATACATGGCCATCATGTGACATGTTTCCTACATGTTCAGTGATGTCACACAACAGAGGTGGGTAGCGATCACATGACATGTGTTTATGATGATGTTCTGTCTGTCCCTTGGCTATTTCAATGTGTGACAGTTCAGTTAAGTTCAGTTTAGTTCAGTTCAGTTCAGAGTTACGAGAGAGAAATGGTAACCGCAGAACCAAGAGAAGAGATCAAGTTGGAACTAGAAGTGACAGTCAGTGTGTGTGGCACAGTCCTGAGTTACGAGTTGCAAGAGAAAGAGTGGAAGCATGTGAACAGAGAGAAGTGGAACCAGGAGTACAGAAGAATATAAGAGGTCGGCCTGGGAGGATCTAAAGTGTGATTGGAAGATTTTGTGTGTAATATCTGTAGTGATTTGAAGTTATAGTTTCTGTGTTGAGATCCATCGCTAGGAGCAAACTACTGAAGACGGGGAATCCTAGTGCATGCGCAATGGCGAACTGGAAAGTATGTAAATCAGCAAAAGCACTGTATTGCATGTATTTAAGTATGATTAAGAGCAAGTCTGTAACCAAAGTGTTAATTTACCCAATCATCCAAACTAGAACCTGTCATTTTTGTTGTGTGTACAAAACACGTGACAATACATCTGAATCCCTTCCCTGATAAGGATGGAACAGTTTTACAAACCACAAACAAGCACTCACCTGTAGTCAAAGAACAGCTCTTCGCCGGGCTGGATTGCTCGTTTAGCAAATATACCAATGCGGTGGTCCCCATTTACCATCATCACTTTGGCATAGCAATTTGGGTTGATAGAATGGTTGGCAAACCTTATTTTGTTGCCCTTACGTGTAGCATCTACCACAAAGTCTGAAATGTAAAATTTATAATGTAAATAATCAAGAAACTGGAACAGTAAGGACAGTGCTTTGAAAACCACATCTATTTGTTGATCTTAATTATCATGGTAACTAAACATGATTAAGTATTCTTGGGCAATCAGCCATACTGATAGAGTAAACATCTAACATTTCAAAGAATTTTGTATCTGGAATATTAGATTTTTACTCCTTATCAACTGATGTCCCCGTTTATGGAGACAGAAAGTATTCAACAATGGACTTTTACTCCATATTGATTGTCCAAGACATGCTTACATTGGGGCAAGTACTTTAACCCTTTCAATGCTAAAATCTGAGAGAACAGCTGCCTACAGTGCGATGTCTTCACCATTCCTACTTACAGAAAGATAAAATTCAGCTTTCCCTTGAAATATTCACTTACTTTATATTCGCATTCGGCAAACTTTGATTCAAAGTACCAAAATTCTAATATAAACATGTCAGCATGTCTGCTTTCTAACACTAATACTTGCGAATCCACACAAAAGAATTTAGGTTCCTACATACCATTTCTCTACTTGAAGTCACCTCACTGTATTTCCATTTATTCGATTTAGCTTCTATCGCTATCTTAATTTGTGAAACCAATCTAGAATTTATTCATCACTGCAATTGTCACAATGGTAAGAAATTACACTTGCAGAAGACCTTTAACACTCTTTTAAATAATTGAAAATATTAGTACATAAGAATGAAACATACCAAACTAACTGGGAACACATTACCAAGGTACTAGTTTCAAACCAAGAAACTTACAAGTGGGTGGGTGTTAAAAACCCTCCCCACCTACATGAATGGTGGGGGGGAGACTAAAATTACTGACATCCAATGAGCCGTGCTAAAGCAATGACTCCTTCCGTGATGTAATGGCTTCCAGCCATATCTCTGACGCTACCCTTCGCCCGAGGTCCTAGAACTTACCCCCTCCTCCTCTTCTCCAATACCATGTGATTTTCCCACCCTTTCTGCCCCTGTGTCTCGGAAAGAAGTATGTTTGGGAGCAGAGGGTTAGTCTGATAAGTGGATCCACTTGGGTAAGCACGTCTGCTGACCAGCCAGGGATATTTTCTAAATTTCCATTCAGAGGGGTGTTGTTTCAAAATTGCGTTTCGGCATACTCTGGGTCTGGCCGCAGACGTTGGGGTTTATAGTCACCAGCTATCGGGGCGATGGCCTGGTGGCGATACGAGAGTTAGTTTTTTGTATAAATATATATATTATTTTCTTGAGGCCACCTGTGAGTGAGGTTTGCTTAGCCTGTATTATATAGACATGTAATTTTTTTAATGCCGCCTGTGGCGGACCAGTTCAATTTAGTTATTCAATGTATTTGTTTTGATGCCGCATGTGACTAGGAAGGGACTTGTATTCTAATGCCACTGGGCAGGTGGTTGAGTTGATGCCGCAAGGTGCGGATTAATGTAGAGCGCAGACACTCAGCCAGGCTTATTCTATTTATATATGTATTTTTTGTGTATTTTTGTCATTACTTGTTTTTATGTTTATTAAACATTGTTATTGTTATATTGTGGGTCTCTCATTGACTTCTACAATGATTCTCCGCTGCGAGCTTGGTTTCCCACGACACTCTTAGGGAGCATTGTAAACACGGCGCGAGGGCCAGAGACGACGAACCGCTCCCGACTTCACCGACGCTTGGTAGTGGTAGGGTGAAGACGGGAGAAGTAACGGTTCACCAAATAAACAATGTTTCTAAACATTCACATACTGTACCACTGTGTGTTGCATCTGCTGACAATTATTTTTTCTGCAGGATGGAAAGACAGAAATAGTAGCTTGGTAACAGGTTCATACTTAAGAACTGCTTCCTTCAAAAGCCTAATAACACATGAAAGCATCATGTCCCTATCGCCCATTGCAAAGAGATCCCCAACTTTTGGCACATGCGTATACTGAGAGAGGAGTAAGCATCTAATACTATGTGCATTTATACAAAATTCAAAACAAAACCCGTAACTCAGCATGGAGTAAAATTAAATATTAATGTCAGATTATAAAGGATCCTGACATGTGTATTATTAAGTCAAAGCAACAAAAATATGCCAGGTATTCTGAGACCCTAAAATATTGTGGACACACAGTTTTGTGGCAAAAAATAGATGATAAAAATAACATAAAAAGGCATCAGGGCAATATATGTTAAGAGTTAATGAGAGGCCATAAGCGGTGTGATGCATGGTACCTCACGCACCTCATTCTTACCTGATTTAGTTGCAATTAGTTCCACAATCTCAAGCGCAACACTAATGTTCCATAAAACTTATTAAAACTATTCATTTTAAAGTGTTTCACTACATGTTTTGACCAATGTGGTCATCATCAGGTGTTAAAAATTATGGATGAGGAAACTGCTGTCTTCTGTTTAATTGCTTCGGTTGTTAATATTGTGGTGTGTAGACCCATTGCTAGACAACGCAGACAACCCACAAGCAATACTTGCTGGTAACAATGGAACAACGAGGCAATGGTTCAGTAAACAGACTTCCACACAGGCACAATGACATCACATTACAACAGTACTGCCTATAACATGACTTGTTTTCTCTGATGTTGGTGTGGCGCCTATATAACAAATATCTGTTTAAGGTTAAGTCAGAGTGTGTGGAGAGTTCAGGAAGCTCAAGACTATTGAGAGACTAGTGTAGAGTGCTTACACTCTCTAGTCTAATTCTCCAAACTGCTAGTCTACCATCGTAATCCTATTCTTTTGATGCTCCAGTTCCTTCAAACTGGTTTCCTTATATAGACACAGCTTGGACACACATCACAGAAAACACGTGTCACGCAATCGCTACACACTGTTCTGATGTGACATCATTTCACATGTGCAAGCTACACGGATATACAGAAAACACATCTGCCATATCATTGGCTGTGTGTGTATTGTGGGCACTGTCTAGCAATGGATTTACCTATTATAACATTCTCATTTGATGTTATGCTTTGGTCCTCATACAGTTAAAGCAGAGCTAAATTTCTTCAATTTTAAATTTAGTTGTTTAGTTCTTAAATCATGACATTGTTTAATAGGGATCCATATTGTGGTTGTATGAGTTTTTATACTAACAAATGCACTTTAATTTAAATGTAGTTCAAACACAGTTTAAAACTTGACATCAAAAGGATAAAAATTAAAATTTGAATTAAATGGCGATTAAGATATTTATAATTTATATTATAAGTCTTAAGACTTATATTATATTATGGTGTATCTGTTAGTATAACAACTCATACAGACATAATATAGATCAAATTTTTTTATTGCTAGTGGGGTGGGACTAAGTCCCTTGTACTGCGGCCACTTCTGGCCTATTGTACCAGCCCCAGATGATAAGTGAGGGTGATTGTGGAGCAACTGGTGGAATGAAAATTGGCAGGGGAAACTGAAGTACTTGGAGAAAACCTGCCCCAGAGCCACTTTGTCCACCACAAATCCCACTTGACCAGACCCAGGATCGATCCCGGGCTGCCGCAGTGGGAAGCCTGCAACTAACTGCTTGAGCTATGGCGCGGCCTTTGATCCATATTGAACAATGATGGAATTCAAGAACTAGTAACAGTATTCTTGTATACCTGAAGATGACCCAAGAAAAGGGTAGAAACATGTAGCATTACCACCAACAAGTAATAAAACATGTGTTGCCACAGTAGTGTCTATTTCGTCTTTTTCAGAATTATTGTTGTGTAGACTGTCCCATTATGTATCTTCCATATGACACATAACAGGATGCATTCAACAAAAGCAGGCATATTTAAAACAGAATGGTAAATTTAAAACTGTCCTCTCCAAAACTGGTTACAGTATCAGCATAAAGTTTGAAATTACATTAACAGATGGAAACAAAGTATACACAGGAGTGGAAAGGAAGAACTGAAGAATGAAAGGACTAACAAATATCAGAAAATGAGAACAGGAGCTCTATCAAGCTTACCATTGTTGAGGTTGAAAAGAAAGCTACACATGTACTTGTCATACACTTTTCCTCTTCGGTCTGCCTCATCCTGAGAGATGATCTCCCCACAATACTCTGATATGAATTCATTCTTCTGTGCGCTGTCCTTTAGGAATATGCCCCACCCAGCAACATCTGATGGTGCCATTAAAAGATGTTTGTCTGCCAATCAAAATAGAGAACACACACAGTGAAAGAAACATTGCTTAGACTGCTTTCCCAAATGTGGAGTGTCTATTTTATTGCCCCATCATAAGTTTTAGGCATACAACAGCAGTAGCACCATCATCATCATCATCATCATAACAAAAACAGCAATATTCAATCCATTTACTACAGTGCCTCACAGCAGCAAGCAAGGCACCTACAGGAAAGCATAAAATGAAGTGTCTAAGCGTGTAACATAATGCCTAAATAATTCAGACACCAGAATAAGTTGAAAATTAAATAATCATTCAGTCACGAAGATGTTCTTGTGAAGCTAATAACTGCTCAGCTACTGAAGAAATCTCACAACTTTCAGGGAACCAAATGGTTCATTACCACATATGACTTAAAGCTATCATGGCAACTGTTTTTATGGTAAACTGATTTGCAATTTCTATTTCTCCAGTTATCCAATCACAACCTCAGTTTCAAAAGAACTGGGCTCTGGTACTATGGCTCAGCCGCATGTACATCAGTCTGCCTCACATCATTAACTCCACAGACATTCACAATGACAGAATTCTTCTAATTATTCAAAATATTGTCAGAACCTGAAAGCAGATCACCATTTTCATCCTTTCCCAAGTTAGTTCTAGGTTGGTAACCCTTATTAAATTAATTTATTCCTCTACATTCTTGATTTTACTACCTGTTTTAAGTTAATTCATTTTGTCTTTCAGATATCCTCCACCCCCAATCTGTTCCTAGAAAGTCTACTACTTTCAGGTCTTACATTGTACAGATGGCCTGTAATAATTAGACTTGGATTCTGCAATCACTGCAAGTTACCTTGTTTTGTTTAACCTTATAATTTTGGGCATTCTTTGACATATCACAGTCTATGTTGCTTTAATTCACAATAATGCAGATTCTCTTTAGTTAAAATTATATTATTTCTAACATTTTCCCAAGCCTACTTATGTTCACATTCACATCCAGGTTTACCAAAGCTGCAAATCTGTTTGAGATTAATTTTCATAGCATTTCATTTAGGTTCCTGTATATAGAACTGTTATGTTGCTGGCCTGCCAATTGTCAATCACCTCTCTTTTGTAACCAAGGTTTTGTTTAATTTTTTGTTATTCTTTAATTCATTTCTGTCTATTATAAATGCTTGATGGATCCTGAATGCCATCTTACATCTATCAAGATGTGACCTGATTGTGGGTTTTCCAATTTGGAGATACCCAAGTGCATTCGGAATGCTGCAGCATGGGAATGCTGTACCCTTTACAATTAGATTTTCTAATGTAGCAAAATCTACTCTGTTACTCCTCATCATTACCAGTTTCATGCAAGTTCTCATACCCAACTGTCAGACTGAACAGATTCTCTCCCCAAACAAAGTTTGTATGTGTTACTCTGGGAATTTTTTGAATAACCTTCCAGTTTCTCACAAACCTGTCTTCTGTTTCATCACCTCTATCCTAAGTTGGGACACGCACATTCAGAGAAATTNTCCTAAGTTGGTACATGCACATTAATGACCCATCAGTATTATATACTGCATCCTGTCACTACCAAACTGTACCCTATTAACTTCTGATTTGATTCTCCTACATATAAAAAAGTGTGTCCCTAAGTTATGATGAGCATTAATTTTCTTTAATTCGCTTAGTGGGAGGTGGGGTCCACTCGGCCACTGATGGGCCTATTGTAGCCTGTCCCGGGTGATTATGATGATGGAGAATTTGGTGGCATGAAGATTGGCAGAGGAAACCGAAGTACTCGGAGAAAACCTGCCCCAGCGCTACTTCATCCACCACAAATCCCACTTGACCAGATCTGGGATCGAACCCTGGCCGCCACGGTAGGAAGCCAGCGACTAACCGCTTGAGCTATGGTGCGGCCTTATGATTAGCATTCTCACCCATGTAAGACTGTGTAACATTCTGCCTGCTCTGTGCCACAACCGCCCAATCTGAAATGCTGTACTCTCATGAAACACCCTTAAATATTTTATTCTATTATTCAGTTATTCAGTATTGAGGGGGTGGGTTTCCCCATGCACCGCGACCAGGATTGATCTATTGTGCGTCCCCCTTTTTAATTTCTACCGTCTCCATACCCTACTGGTACTGGTGCTTACTATCAGCCCCTTTCTGCCAGCGAGGTTCCAACCTTCTACAGGTAGTGGTATCTAATAGTTAGTCCCTTTCTGTCAGAGAGGTCCCCCTCCTCTGGCAGTGGTACCTAATACTTCCCCCATCTACAGGAGGCATTGGAAACTCTTTTGGGCAGGAAACTTTGGCCAAATTTTGCTCAGCGGTCTCCTAGAGACATGAGTTTCTTTTGCGTGCCGTAAATCTACGACACGGGACCCATGGCTTAAAGTCCCTCCTG